GAATTGTCCCTTTCGACGTCAAGTCCCGCGTAGCCGAAACATAATATGTGATTGGGACCTTATGTGTTTTCGTAACTTGCACTAAGCCAAGATTCCTACTTAAGCAACTTATCGCTGAGTCTAGATAAGCAAACAGAAGCATATAAAGGGTGTAAAAGACCGTTTTATTTTAAACTAAGTAAGTTGAACAAAAGGCACATCTGGTGCTTACAAATCAGCCAGCATTAATGGCGTAGAATTTTAAACTGAACTGAATCTAAGTGGCTATTGGTCAAGGGCTACGCAGAGATATTTAAACGCGGAAGTTGGCCGTTGACGTACACAGGCCTGACAATACTATCGGCAAGAATAAAACAACGCCGTAGACAGAAATGTTTCTCGTAGAATAACAATTAGTAACATGGCCTTCAGCAGGCAGAAAGCGTTCTGACTAAAACAGTCTCAAACTCTTACTTAAATACACGCGAGTTAATTACATTCTGGCAGGGAAGCGGAAAGAAAGAAGAGTCAGTGCAGATTGTAACATAAAATAACTGGTTAGTTAACATTAACATTGTAATTAGAATTTATAAGTTGAAACCATTTTGATGATATAAATACTATTTATTACTATACAAGTCTGTACAGTAATATATTTATTACTGTAAAGTACTTTACAGTAATTACTTTACAGTAATAAGTGTTTATTAAAACTGCAATAATAAGTATATACGTAATATAAGTATTTAAGTATTATTAATACTTATTTATTATAGTATTGTATTTATTACTGTACAAGTCTGTATTTATGACTGTACAAGTCCCTACTTTTGCAACAAAGAGCGAAAAACATACTTGTTATCTATAGTTGGGGTATAATAATCAGTACTAGCAGTTTGAGGACTCTATTTACAGCTTTGCGAAGGTATAAGGGATTTTTCGAGACTTTCCATTATAAAAATCCTATTGAATAACAGTATGAGCAATTTTGACTGATTATCACTTGTTACATGAAAATCGCCTGGCTTTCATATTTATGTTGTAGAGACATTAGATTATTTTAAGCAGGAGGTAAAAAAAACTGAGCAATACCCTCGCCGGGACTCGAACCTGGACCTCTCGAATACGCGCCGAGTGTGCTACCATTACATCACAAAGGCATGCAGAAAGGAGGAAGAAAATACTTTACAGGTTGTAATTAGAATTTATAAACAACATGATTTTCGAGTTGAAACCTTTTAGATGATTTAAATACTATTTATTACTATGCAAGTCTGTACAGTAAAGTAATAAGTATGTTGCTATGCAAGTCTGTACAGTAATATATTTATTACTGTACAGTAATAAGTATATTACTATGCAAGTCTGTACAGTAATATATTCATTACTGTACAGTAATAAGCATTGAAGTATTATTAATAAGTATTTATTACAGTATTGTATTTAATACTATACAAGTCTGTAAGTAATTAATACTACTCATTACCGTACAAGTCTCTACTGTTGTAACAAAGAGTGAAAAACATTTTTTCTTATCTCTAGTTGAGGTGTAATAATTAGTACTAGCAATTTGAAGACTCTAATTGATTGATTGTATTAAATTGAATGGAATCAAGACCAATAATTGAAAATAAAATAAAAAGTTTGAAAGATTTCAGATTTTATATTACACCCAAAGAGGCGTTCTTTTCATTTACACATAAATACACTTTCAAGAACATTTACGGTAACGTTTGGGCTAAAAATATTTAAAAAGAGAATACCTTTAAAATTTTCGAAAGACAGTCTCTTCCGCTGGACATAAAAATATTTTATTTTAAGAATCGGGGTCCAGATGCCCATATTCGAATGGACGACTGCGTTATTAAAAATTTGACGGCTCCAGGTCGCGTTGTGTTTTCCATAATGCCAGAAACTTACGTATAGTCATGCAAATTCTTTATTATTTAATTTCTTTAAATATAATACAGGGCGATAATATTTGGTGGAAACAATCTGAAAAGTGATATAGCCGTTTATAGTGATTCGACGCAAAATGTCGTTTTGAGACTAATAGCTCTTCAGGGGTAATGCCCCTTTAAGCTGAAATTATTATTTAAGATATACTTTGAGTTATATCATCTTCTAAATTCAGGATTATATATAAATCGTTATCTAAGCTTACAGAAGCCGAAACAGATGCTAATGGAATCAATAATAAGCAACAAGATTGGCATAATTGAGGGCAAAATGATAATAACAAAAACTATTCAGTAAATAGTACTTCACCATTTATAAGCACTGTGTTATAGTCTTTAAATTAACTGCCCTTGCTCATTATTATATTTGATCTGGTTTTGTAAATAAAACGAAGCTATAAACTAAATGCCCATTTCTATACCTGTATTTTGGTCATTCTTCAATTTTTTACCGATGAACGTCGTTTTTCATCCATCTTTTGAATTATCAATTAACAAAACAAATTTTTTTACTATGAAATACAAATCTTAATACAGAGGACTAAGCACTTTTTCTAATCTAATATGTAAGTATAGAAAATTTATACTGATAAATCCTAAAGCCTTTTAATAAACTCCATATCAATTCTTTTGTTTTCCTATAACTTTTATTAATCTCCGAAACTTAATGAGTGTACCTAAAGCCCTTAATTAACTTCCGTTTTCAAGAGATTATTCGTGCAAATGTTGTTGCCGAAATTACAGGAATTATCGTACCTAACATATTTATAAAGGATCATACGAATCTCACTGAGATGTTAGGAAACGTTTTATTAGACATATTTGCAGTCTTGATTGCAAGAAGCATTTCATCAATACAAGGAATTTGCATTGCAAAATTTAATACTTAAATTTCTTTTTCCGCTTTCAATTAAGATTTTAAACATTATAATTACTTACAGTTACGCACATATAGACAATAACTATTAACTGTCTGTTTTTATATATTTATATATGAGTTGGTATAACTTGAGAAATAAGTGCAAAAAATAGTACTTCTGCTATCTATACTGACCACTAGCTTGTAGCATTTATAAAATTTATGATTTATGTCTTACGCAGATATATATGGCTGTTTCTAAATGTTAGAAAATGTTCATTAGAAAATAGAAAATGTTCATTAGAAAACAGAAAATGTTCATAGGAAAGACATAGGAATGGGTTTATAGAGAATGTTCATAGGAAAGACATAGGAATGGGTTTATAGAGCATGTTCATAGGAAAGACATACGAATGGGTACATAGAGAATGTTCATAGGGAAGACTTAGTAATGTTCATAGAAAATGTTCATAGGAAATACATAGGAATGTTCATAGAAAATGTTCATAGAGAATGTTCATAGGAAAGACAGTTTTAAGGTACGTACTTTTAAATCGGTAGTTATTGTATTTGTATACACTAAGCTTTGATGCCCTTTTGTTAACTACTAATATCATTGTGCGTTTAAGATTACCGCAGACTGATAGGAGATGAACTGTTCATATTCGATGAAATAAAGCGTAAACTAATATTTGTTATGTTGCATTACAGTGTATCTGCTTTAAAAATCGTTTAAACTTTAATTGCAAACTAATTTATTTGAACCTCTCGCTTCTTTCACTTTGTTTCCCAAAGATTGGAATTTAAAGATAAGTGAAATATTACCTAGCAATTTATTTCAGTTTAAATATTGCTAATGAATGAATATGGAAATTTTGTTACTTTTAAAACACTAACAAACAAGCAAAAGCGAAAATTAGCATTGAATTTTTGTAACACAAAACTTTCATAGAGAATAATATTTGCAATCATTATGAAAACGTTATCGTAATAATTTCTGTAATTCTTTCCTATAAATTACTTAGGAGTTTCATATATATACTTTCAAGTACACGTGTTAAAAAATTAACACAAGTTCGATATTTGAAGTTAGTAACAAGCAATACATATGCTTGCTGCACATTTCTATAAAATCATATTACTTTAGATGTAAATCATGTAATTTATGTGTATCATGTGTATTATGAATATTCGTTAAAAATGTGCATTTGCTAAATACGATGTGTTAATGTTGATAAAAGGATTAAACGTATTATAAGATAAATAATCCCTTATCTGTTTAATTATACTGTTTTATCCAGATTCAAGATATGCAGTATTTCAAGAGAATTACTATGCATCTCTCTCTTTGCAAAGACTATAACATGAATCTTAGTAAAATTTCAAACTTTAATTACTTTTTCAATTTCGCAGTTAGCATTTAAATTGAGAATAAAATATCACATAAGCAATTTATTTATCTTTTAAGCGAGATCTTTTTTCTGGATATTATAAGCAGTGAATCGATTTTGGGAATAATGCACCGACAGTATACAATTTTCACCACTGTGAATTCTGAAACGACCGATTTGGAAAAAGCAGTTTTTTAAGATCTACCTCGCATTTGCTTTGTGTGAAAACAGTATCTCTAATACATGATAAAATATTATATTCAAACTATAATATATGGAAATATGAAATTACTCTAACAATATGTGCACAGGATAATTTTTAGTATGAAACTTTTTATGAGAAAATTCCTTTTTGCATTGCTGTAAATATCATTTAAATGTTAGGCGACATGCAGCAATTCATATCAATTTCATCAGAAGCAAAGAAAACTGGCTCAAACAGCAAAAACCGCAGAGTTTTCAAAAATAAACTGATGCTGCCTTTGCAGGTTTTTTTCAATGAAAATGCTACCATTCGTACAAACTACGTTTACTGTTTTAAAAATTAATTTGTTCCATGATTTTTAAATTAAACTTTCACAGTACATCGAATAGGTCAGCGACCTAATTCAGAAAATGGCGAGAGCTGCATGTCCTATTCGTGTGCAGTAGAACTATACCATAAACCTTGTGTATAAATAAAAGATAAATATAACGTATAAATGAAACATGAACATGCTACTGACACATACAAATTCTTCTTTCTTTTGTCACTTGTTATCCTATCCACGCCTACCTTCCGCAGTGCGAAACAGTTATAAAACTTCAGCTTACCTTTCCTGCCGTTCATGAGAATGAGAGGAAGGCACTGTTCAGGACCACAACACGGAACTCTTCTTGAAATAACATTATGGTACTGTCGAAGTATTATCCTTTATGAAAGTTAGTTCCTCTGGTCGATAATCAGTTTAGGGTAAAATCTCCCAACTGAATCAAGCCAGTGACAGAAAGAAAATATCCAAAAAAGGGAAACTGGTCCCCGCTGGATTGAAGCGGATCTCAGCTCTTGGGAAACTCACGATGACTAATATCAGTCTCCCTGCCAGCGGCGTTTTTATTTCGATTAATTCTTTTTATTGTTCCTTACGTAAAAGCGATTAAATGCATACGTATATTTAAAAATATTGAAACACAGACGTATTTCTTTATCATTAAAAAGAGTTTTGATTAAATTAATTTCTATCTTTAGAATTTTTTATTTTCATGTTTTTTATGTTTTCCTCAATGTTGTTCTCTTACGTCCGCTGATGAATCAGAAATTTTCATTTTAGTTTCTGTTTCCCTGTAACACAAAAAAAAATTATAAATTATTTATACATATTATTTGACGTATACAAGTGTGAGTATTTGTAGAAATACTCTTAATGTTTTCACATTATAGAAGTCTTCAGCAGGTTGTCTAAATTTACTTTGACGGCATATAAAAATATGTAAAAGGTATATTCAGAGCAAAGAAAATACCTTTATCGAGACGGCACCATAGCAAACGCATCGTTTTATGCAGCGAGTTTCAGCCGGTGGTACGCAAGAGAAAAATAGGTTATATGCAAAGAAATAAAGTATTTTTAACTATTAAATTCAAAAACAAGTGATGGAATTTTTCTCTAACTAAAGATTTCAAAGACAGCACACTTGTTAAGTGTAGGCTGAACTGAAAAAAAAAAATAATAATTTAAAGGCATTTCAAATAAAGCTATTACATTTTTATTCCCTTTCTTCAAATTTCACACTAAATTTTAGAATTAAAGTATTATAACCTAAACTTTGATAATTAAAATGGTAACCATCTTTTAATCTAGTATTTTTGTGTGGCATATTTCATGCAAATAACCAACAAGTTGTGCAAATGGCACAATATATATTTTTTAACGCTTCTATTGAGAAACTGAAAAATAATCCTTATAAAATGTAGTGGTGGTACTAACGTTTTTTCAATTTTTGTTTAAATGGTTCGTGTTAGTCAAAAGGTTGGGAACCGCTGATTTAAATTTAAAAAATTTTAAAAATATCAGAAAATAATCACTTGACTTGGATGATGGTTGGTGTATTTAATTATGGCAAAGCACACTAGGGCTATCTGCCTAAAAGGGAGGGATGCCTTCGTGGAGGACTTTCTAAGGAAAACTGGCTCGTATACACGTTACACATGGGGGAAACCACGAAAACACCCATGCAGCCAGCCCGTTCGTGGGATTCGAACCTCAGACCGAACTACCAGTGTTCAGCGACTTTACCGCTCGGCCGCTACTGGGCTGACTTGGATGAAAATGGGTTATATCACCATATAGTAGTATAAATTGTAAAATGCAGCCTATAAAAGTGTCTGTTGGGCCAGATTTAAAGTGCTTTTGACAATACAAGTTAGATTTCATATGTTAACTTTACATTTAAAAAAAAAAAATCCATTATCATTATTTATTGGTCACCTAGTCTAGTACAGAATTTTATTTGATGACTTTACCAAACTTACTTTTCGTGGATTAAAGCTTAATATTGCGAAAGCATAATTCACCGACATTTCATAATCAAATGAAATAAATATATGTTGAAATAGTTTGGTTTAGTTTATTACGGGAAAGCACACTAGGGCTATCGGCCTAAGGGGATGGATGCCTCCGTGGAAGACTTTCTACGAAAATATGGCTCGAATATACATTACACATGGGAACAACATCGAAAACGCCCATGCAGCCAATCCGTTCGTCTAGAAATGGAACTCAAATCGAAACTACCAGTGTTTAGCAATTTTACCGTTCGGCCGCCGGTCGGCTTATATATGTTGAACTAAAATAATTCATGATTTAATTATTTAACTACTGCACCTTTAATAAATGAAGTTAAGAAGAAATAAAGAATTTATGAAGTATAAAATTTCAAAATTGTGTCATTTGTAAGCAAAATACTTTTTGAATCTACATTATTCTTTCAAATGCAAAACAAAGCACGTAAAATAAAAAAGCAATAGGCTTACAAAACACTTAAAGTGATACATTTTGCGTATTCTTAAATGAATATGGTATTAGTTAAAACTGAATTCCGAAAAACTTTTGAAAATCAAAACAAAATAAAACAACAACAACAACAACAACAACAAAATAAAAAAAGAGCAAAAGAACTCAGAGAAAATTTGATCAGTTTATTAAAATTGGAAAAAGTAACTATGTTGAATAAATGTGAATTTTATTAATATAAAACGAGGGAAAAAAGAATTTCAAAGAAAAAAAACAATACCTTCAGACCAAAACGAATTGTCAATTTTAAACTGAGAATCGCAAAACTCACCATGAGCAAAATAGCTACTCCCAAAATAGGAAAAGCATAAAATAAAAAAATGGTAATCTGCGCATTAATAAAACAGATATTGAAGAAATTATGAATCATGAATTAAATATAAATTCCATAAATACAGAATCGTTTCGATTTCCGCACAGTGCACTGAAATAATTTCGTAATAAATGAGTCATTATTAAGTATTTATTTTATTTTGAATATATTCCTAAAACTGCACATAAATTTATTATTTTCATTATTATTTACGAGTTCAAGAAACCCCCAAAAATGAAACAAATGAGATTGTTTTAAGATTGTAACATCGCTACATTAAATGCACTGATAGAAATTTTTTTATAGGATGTCAATTTTAAGTAATTCAGCTCTCGTCTATAAAAGAACAGGTCTGAATAACTAATGCTTTAACTTAAACTCATCATCGATGAATTTTTTATCATTAGCTGTTTTTCAAATAAGTCATAACTTAAAACAAATTATTATTTGAAATTAGATACGTGCCAAATGCATAATATTTGTAATATCTTTGAAACTTTTCAATTCCAGTTTTTCTTCCTATCTTTCATTATTTGCTCATTTTCATTGTTTGTATCGTCTTTTCTGTTTCTTTGGTTGCCACTCGTAAATAATTGTAATCATTATTATTGCTTTTTATTAGATTCAGTTGTATATTTTCACTTACGACTAATTTCGATTGGAGATATGCCGCAATTTTGCAAATTTGTATGCCTAAACAATACTTAGGGGGGGGGAATTCCTAAATGTAGCAAATTTACTCTTGCTTTAACAAAAAGGAGGGGAGGGAGAAATAAATATCATAACTGTTATTACAAAATCTTGCTTTGAAAAAATAACAAATTAGACATTGGTTTCAGATGAACGATGTTTTAATAATAGAATCTGCCATCAAAAAGGCATAAGAGTAGATATACAAAAAGGCATAGAGTAGAACAGTAAATAAATTAATATTTTAAATTATTTCAGTTCTTTAATGCCCAGCAATATCCATGAGTAACATAAAATAAAAAGAATTTGCCTTATTATAGATGCCGAATAAGAAGTTCGAATTATCAAAAGAAAGGCCTTTGTTAAAAATTTGTGAAAAGTTAAATAATATAAAGGCTTTCTCAACTATTTCTGCTTTCTTGTGGGAAGTAAAAGAAGTATTGTAATCGCGAAAAATTTCGGTTATCATATTTCAAAGATAATATCCATTTTGACCGCTCTCAAATCCATTTGAACGATGTTTTTGCGTGTCATGTGTATGTACAGACAGCATAAAAAACAAACTGAAAAATTCCAAAAACAGACTGAAAAATGAATTTAAGATGGATTTAGAAGATATTATTTTTTCTTGACATCTGTATGTATCTCGTATAAACACAAAAACGAGTGGCCTTAAAATGTTGAAATTTTATATATGGGGCTGCTATAACGTGTAGTTGTGCACCTCCCTTTCCTTTTTCAAGGGGCAGCACCAAAGGTTTATATATATGTGATATACCAGCTTTTATCAGGAATAAATAGATCGTTGAAGAATCATAAATGTAGTCGTAGCTTAAATTATCAGATGATAAGTTAAAAAAACAGGATCCTTATTTTTCAGGAGAAATAGCGTTACAAAATAGATATCCGGAGTAAAATAAACGAGATACTCCACATTTTTGTATGAGTTACTGCTCTGACATTAAAAAAAAGCAACGATATTCTTTTGCGAGTTTTATAGCCTCTGGGAAAGGGGAGCTTCAAGAAATGACGTCAGCTCTCGCAATCCAGCTCGCTTGAAGTTTTCAGAACATTCTATAACTATACGTTAGAAAAGGCGGAAAAAAAACTTGACTACGGTCTGTGGATTTTAATTCCACGTACGAGTTTTGCAAATAAGAGAACGTCGCTTAAAATGAAAAGAACATACAGTTAGAAAATTAAGTGTAATTTGACTATGGAATTTTTATTTACATATATATATATATATATATCCACTCTGTTACCCGGTTCAGTTAGCTCAGTTTTCTTATTCTTATATATCGGTAAATTATTCATTTTCTTCTTTAAAAGTGATTGAATTATGTTGTTCTTATTCTCCAATTGAAGTTTTTATGCCTTTAGTTAATCTTCATGCAGTAGTTGTAGAGTTATCAAGAATTTAAAAGTTGTTTAAGTGTTAACTAAGCCTAGTGAAGCAGCCATTTGTTTACATTTTTGCATTTGAAACTGTTAGTAGAATAATGAATTCGGTCAGTTTCTGCACTATCAGTGTCCTTTTTGCCGAGTGGGGCCAAAAGTAAAATTTCAGTGTTGTGCGCCGAAAATCTGCCTTTTTGCCCCCTCGCAGAATTGCTTGTTTTTGTGTAGAAACTCTAATTTTAATTGTAAAAATTTATTTTAGCTGTCGTAATTGTATTTTGTGTTTTATGTTTTTCTGTAATTTACAATTTTTAATAAAGACGTTTTAATGTATTTTATGGTTTGCCGTGAAGTGAGAACTGAATTAATTGAATGAGAAATATATCTCTGATGAAATTCGAGGAAATACGTTTAAATGAAATATAGCAAAAACTGTGTATAATTTAATATGTCCCACAAGGAAGTCATTTTTTAAATATTAGAAAAGAAAATAACGAACTGGCGTACGGTTTAATTACATCAAAAATTCTGTCGGTAATTTAAATGTGTCGCTTTCATATTATATTTTGTTG